AACTAGGAAGGAAACAAATTCATCAGTCACTCAGCCACAGTCCAGCCTGTGCATCAACGTAGGACCTTCTAAGTGGAGCAGAGAGGGCCACCCCATCAGGACAGGTAGACTGAAGTCCACACCTGGTTCTCCCACTCATTATCCAAGCACATTTGGGAAACAACTTTGTTTTAGGAAACCTCTATTTTCATGTCCAAAAGAGCCCTCTTCTATTATCATTGTTTCAAAAAAACAAAACAAATAAGACAAAATTTGAAGCACTTATAATTGGGACTCAATAAATGTCCATTCCCTATCTCTCCCTTCCTTGCCTTAAAGAAATTGAGCACATGAGAGGAATGTGAAGAAAGGTATAGTTTCTGCTTAAGAGGCATTTTGGGTAGTGAGGTAGATAAATGAATAGACTCATTAGTAAATATTGTGCAAAGGAATGGAAGAAGAGGATGCATGGAGTTAAAATAGCTGGAGGAGCAGTCAGAACATGGGCTATGGGGCTGGAAAGGTCTGAGGTATCAAACAAGCTTTGGTTTAGCTGTATATGGAATGGAAAAACAACAATGGCTTAACAAGATAAATGGTTTTTTTTTTCCTTCCTGAAACAAAATAAGGAGTTGGCGATTCCAAATAGTGGCTCTACAATCATTGAGGAACCAGATCTTTCCATTTTGTGGCTTCACCATCCTAATTGACTTCTTGGTCCAAGATAGCTGCTTGAGCTCCAACTATCATCTCCATATTCTAGACAGAAAAAAGAATGACAAGGACATTCCACTTCTCCCTCCATCCTTATCAGCCAGAGCTTAGTTCTAGGGCGTCACCTCTGGAGACTTGAGGGATTTCTAGATGGAGTAGTTCATGGGCGGTTTTCTGTGTATCTAGGGCTCAGGGAGATGACTAACTGGGAGATTCAGCCTTAAGCTACACCAACATAGAGATGGCAGCTCTGGGCATGGCTAGATTCACCAAAGAGAGTGTGCAGAGTGAGGACAGGATTCCATTGAGGCCAGCAACAAGGACTGGGCTGAGGAGGTGAAGTCCATGATGAAGTAGACAAACAAGGAGGGTACAGTGCCAAGGAGAAATTTTGCCATTGGTAGTGCCCAGTGTTGAAAGTGAAGCTACTCAGGAGTGATATCATGGAAAATGGCAGAGCAGGGATCTCCAAGAAACCACACACACACTGGAACAACCTGTGAGCTGGCAAAAATAGAAAGTCAGTCTAGAGTCTAATTTTAATTCTAGAGTCTAATTTTAAAATTTACAGTGGCCAGGGGAGTGCTTAATAAAGAGCCTGCTAAATTCCATGAAAGTATTGCAGCATTTTGGCTTATCTTCCACCATCCCCCATCCCCCATACCCCAGCTCAGTGATGATTTATCCCAGGTGTGGCTTGCTGATGCCAGGATCGGCAATGCAGACCTTGTTCTCAAATAATTGTGGTTGCCTAGTAGAGTGCTAGGCTGATCTACACCCTTAGCCCCAAGGTTGTAAATTTTGACTGTTTCCTGAGGGATTGGCCCTAGGTACCATCTTTTTTTTTTTTTTTTTTTTAAAGAGAGAGAGAGAGAGAGAGAGAGA